CATATAATGATTAAATCTTAGTTGATCTATCAGTAGACAGGTTTATTATCTTGAAAATGTTGATCAGTACCATCTTGGGAGTATGGATGTGGATACAGATGAAGAAGGAACATCCACATCTATATAAATTCTCAACCGCACCCCCGCCCTTACCTGAAGAGTTAAAGTCAATTCTTTTAAATGAGATTGTGGGTGTGGGACGACTACAACACACACGTATACCCACATCCACACCCTCAATTTATTACATTCATGCCCACACGTACATCATAACACCCTGATCAATTCCAATAACGAAAAATTTCTTATATCATTCAGTTTGAATGTCTAATAAATGAGTTTTTATTATTTTTTTCGAAGTAATTAAGAAAAAAAAATGAGAGTATCTTAGTTTAGTTGCGAAAGAGCGGAAATGTTAATATGAGTTCGATTTTGTCGTTCTTTTAAATAGTGACACAAACATCATCGATACCGACTATCGGTGTTTGAGGTTGAGGTGAACTTTCGACAATGATCGTATCGATATTGACCCAGTTGAATGTATATGTCCATATGTACGTATTGGGTGTGGTATACGTGGTATTATACAATATCGTGCCCGTGTTTATTCCTGTGAAAGTGACATTCACACTGCTACTGTAAACATAAACAACGAGAGTATTCAAGGTGAAAGTTCCATTCATTCGGGTAAAACTCGTTGAATTGAGATTAGTGTTACAAGCACGTTGATCAGAATAAAGAGTACAAGCGTTCATATTAGACCATTGGAATCCTCCATAACCACTAGGAATGATAATTGGCGTGGGAATATCATTAAATGTAACACCAATCTGACCAGATGGACAAGCTAGAAATAGAAATGGATGAGATTTTATTGATAGAACAAGATTAGACCGATACTGACCAGAAATACATTGAGATCCATTCCATAACATGGAAGAATTGCATTGGCACGTATTAGAAAAAGTCGAACATGTGAGATATTTTGATGAATCACACCATTCATCAGTTCGACATAATTGATTGAATGATCGCCAATATTCACATACACTTCCATTGAAGAAGTATTGATTTGGACATATCCATGTATCATTGACACACTGTAAATATCGATTGATACTGTTGAAAGATAGAATACATGGTTGAAGATATGACGTGTAGAAAACTGGCTGTTGAATGATATAACCAATCTGAGATTTTGATGATGATGGATAAAAGATACCTTCAAAACTCCATGAAGTAAAGAGAGAACATTGATTGATCGAAGGATCGAAGTTGACTGTTCGACATGCAATATTTTTCACACATTGTGCGACACAACGCATAATAGTGTTGGCATCATTTTCTGTAGTTAGAAGATCATTCGAATCGAAAGGTATAAATTGTAAGCCTACACGAGATATTTCGAATTGAACTTTATCAATATTACCATGGGTAAATGTTGAAAGAAGTACAATGAATATCGCAGCAAAATTCATGCCTTTCTTGCTCATGAAAAGAAATACAATGACAATCAATTACTGGTAAAGTTTACTCTCATCGGAGACTGTTTATTGACATTTTTCTCGATCACAAAATAAGTAATTATCGGATACAAGATTCTTTTTAATCAGAGAAAAAAACATCTGATTTAGTATTCCATACTGTTACTTCAGTCATAAATAATTGATTCGAATTGGATTTTTGTCTCAATGAAAAACAAATATTGTTTCAGACACTATGGGAAAAACTTTGTTCTAGACTTCGTTCGCATTGTCGGTTTATTTCAAAGCAAAGTAGTTGAATCAAAGAAAGCCTACTGATAAACCCATAATTCCTCGATGCTAAAATTTCGCATGTGATCGTGTTTTGTAACAAAAGAACGTCACTTCTTCTTTTGATATATTTTTGATGCTTTAACGTTATTTGTCTTGTGAAATAATGCAACTTATCTTCTATATTATTGCTATTTCCGCATGAAAGTCCCTCTATAATGAGATAAAATTTACCTTTTATTTTGTTTTTGCTATCATTCACTAGCTTAAACTGGATTTAGATAGATTAATGCGAACAGCCTTTTGACGGTGCGGTGAGTGTAGTTTGAAAAAAATATTTCTATTCGTTCTGTATATCCCTCTAACAATGTCTTAATAAAAAAATGGTGACGTTATTTGTCCTATCCTTTTTTTCTTCCTTTGTTATCATCACTGTGAAAGTATTAAAGTTGATGATAAGGACAAACATGATATTTACTATAAGAGTGAGAGTGTCATCAAATACAGAACAACTTTCTATTTTCATTTCGTTAAAAAAATAGGCATGACATTGTATGTTGTCTTCACGTTTTTTATTTTTATTGGTAAGATCGAATGTTTTCAGCAAAATGTCAAGCTTGTAGGCACTCACATAGTAAGCAATGTGTTCAGGATAATTTTGTTTTAATTAAGAATGTATTTGAAAAAGATTTATCGCCATGGAGATCGTGCTCCCACCGTCTTATATCCTACGAGCACCACCGATCCGTTCTTCTGGCCGAATGGTCTTGGTCAGTTAACGCCTAGAGGCCAACTTCAACACATTCGACTGGGTCAGTTTTTACGAGAACGATATTCTGAACTGCTCAATTCGATTTATGTTGCTTCTGAAGTCAGTAACAATTAATGTCAGCTCACTAATGAGTCTTCTTCACGAATGTTTATTGTTACTAAGGACGACATCTTTCTTTTCATTTATCCTTCTCAATCGTCTCTCTAACATCACATCCATTCTCACCCATCTCGTATGCGTTATATCTGTCTATTCCGTTTTGATTTTTTTCTTTTATTCTTCTTTTTCTTCCTTATTTTTATTTCTTTATATTGAAACACTAAAAAAAGAGCTTTTTAAAGGACGAAAATACCCTTATGTAAGAAATATGTCAATGTGTTTCAGTTTTTCCTCTATTAAACACCAGTTATGTTGTTGTGTGCACAAATGAAAGAAGATTAGTGAAGTATATTAGTCATTGATTGTTTCAATTGACACCATAAAATTATACAGGATTTATAAAAAAAATAATTTTTCCTGACATCATTAGAATCTCCATCCAACTCTATAGTTCGAATCTTTTTGAGCATATTAATTCATTAAAGCTCTATTTATGAAACCTTCGCTTGATATCTTCTCTTTCATGTTAATTTTTACCGTATGGTTAGCATATTTAATATAAGGTAGCTGAACATCATTTATATTGCTAAATATCTTTCATTTGATATAAAAAGTGAACTTAAAAACCCACAACAGACAATAGATATAACGTATTATTATAACTTAAGAGAAACAATGAACAGTACAATCTCTTTGCAACCTGCACCATACAATTTTGTGCAAGCAGCCAAACAGCCAATTATGTATACTTATCTAATCACAACGATATTTATTGTGATCATGAATATATTAAATGTTTGGGTACTTAATCGTCCAGTTCTTCGATCATCTTCATGTACGTATTATTTGCTTGCTTCAGTTATGCCCGTTCCAATATTCATTATTGTTACACCTGTAAATCAGATTCTAGTAAACAATCGTGGATTATATATCAGCGGTACAACAGTCACATGTAAATTAGTGATGTTTTTCATTTCTACAAGTTCATTATGGTATGCTTCAATGTTAGTATGTGCTACAATTGATCGATTTCTCACAAGTTCAACTCTAGTTCATTTACGTCATTTTACTCAAGTGCGTGTGGCACGAATAATTATCCCCATTAATTGGATCTTAATTTTGATATATATGTCACCATTTATAATAATTTATTACTATGATCCGATGAGTAGCAATGCAAATAAATGTGTTCAATATTCAACAACATTAATTAGTATTTATCTCATTAGTCGAGTTATTGTTTACTATGTTATGGTACCATTATTATTGGCTATATTCGGTACATTAACAATTTATAATATTCGAACTCAACGACATCGTATAGCGCCAGTAAATCAATTCAATGGTCAACGTCGTACTGAGAGTCAATTAGCTCGTATGTTAATCATTCAAGTAGCTTCGTATTTACTGTTCTTTACACCATCTGGTATAATATATATTCTTGTGACATTTTTTCCATCTCTGAATACATCATATTATGCAACAATTCGAAGTTTAGCAGGTGCTTGGCAACAAGGTGGTTATTTCATTTCTTTTTTCTTTTATATCTTCTCGGGTAAAATATATCGAGAGGAATTAAAGAAAATATTTCGATGGGATCGAATTCGTGGTAAAATATTCAATATTCATAATCATCCTCATTCAATGACTGTAGGAGCAAATATGTTGCCCTCTGTACGTGAATAAATAATTAAAAATCTAAATTTAAACTGAAAATTATGATTATTTTTGTTGTGTCTTTTGATGTTGTGTTCGTTTGTGCTGAATAAATTATTTGAACATTATTTAATGACATGAATGACGACATAGAAATGCGATTACTTTGATTCAAAATGAGTTGCTTAAAATATATGTGAATTTATGGAGAAACATCAAATAGTTGAGCGTCTTTGAAAAATATGCGCACAAAGTGAAAGAGTAGTTCGAAACACCTGGAATAACTACATTTAAATATAACATGAAACAAAAACGGGAAAAAAATCGTGTCGAAATACAATCATGCTTGTTTTTTATCTATTGTTGTTAAAATAAATAATATTATCCTGCTTGACATCTCATTGTTTTTCAGTCTATAAATCATCGTTTAGAAACATTTTTCTTTCACAATTTATTTATATACAAACGTTCTGCTTATTGACATGACAACAGCATGCAATTTTAGAAGATCAAATGGAAAAAAGCAGATATACATCATATATCTCCACGATACAGTAGAGTCCTGCAAACCGGACGGGTACCCGACACCCGGCCCGACCCGGACCTGGGTAACGGGTAAAATTTGCCGGGTCGGTTCGGGCATCGGGCGTAAAAAAAAAATTCGGTTCGGTTCCCGGGTAGGAGTGTATACCCGACCCGAACCGACAACTAGTGACATCACCAAATTTGTAACATTTTATTCTGAAACTATTACTAATATGAAAAATGAAGTCACAATAAATCTAATAATGATTAAACGACCCATTAGTCATTAAAATATTTCATAAAGAAAAGTTTAGTTTCTTTGTATAACTTTTCTTATGTTTCAGATAAAAAATACTGATTGTTTTGCTAAATAACATCTTACAATATGAATAATATTAAAAAATGTAAAGAAGATATTAAGAAATGTAAAGAAGATATTAAAACGAAATTAGATAAAGGTATATTTAAAACATATGCAAAACCAAATACAGCAACAGCAACTTGGTGGAAAAATTTTCTTAGAATTCAAGATGATAAAGAAAATATTATACCTTATGTTCAATGTGTTAAATGTTTTTCAATTTTTGCTTATGATTCAACTAAAACTGGATCTAGTACTCATAAAGCACATGCTGAAACATGTCTTGGTGGTATTAATTGTAGTGTAGGTAAAAGTAAAGATATTGTCTCAATGCTGAACAAAGAAAATTTTATACCAACTAGTTCAAAACGTTTATTTACCGAAGCATGTGCTACATTTTGTTCGTACGATTTACGTCCATTTGAAATAATTAATGGTAGTGGTTTTGAAGTATTATGTCAAAGTCTATTGGATATTGCTTATAATAATTCTTGTCGAATTAAAGCTAGTGATATTATTCCTGATCCAACAACAATATCAAGACGCGTGAGAAGTTTAGCTGAAGGTATGTGGAAACAAGGTAGTTGTCTTCATTAAATAGTTTCGGTTATTTAGAACGTCGTGTAGAATTAATTGAATCATTATTGTCTGATCTAAAAATGGTGAAACTATTTGGAATAACAACTGACTTTTGGAAGAATAAGTTTTCTTCAGATAGTTATTTAACAATTACTATACATTATAATAAAGATGGAAATATGATGAATCTCGTGTTGAAGACTGTTTTAGTTAGCGAATCTAAAACTGGAGGTATTTATATGACTTTATCAAAAGAATTGATTTTATTTTTAACTTATGATTTTAGAAAATACTAAGAAGATGATATGGAATATATTAAAATCGTTTGGTATAGATCCTGATGTATTTCAAATTGTTTACGTCACTGATAATGGCTCCAATTTGATTTCAGCATTAGGTGAAGAAGCTCATTTACGATGTATATGTCATTGTATAAATTTGGTTGTTAAACAAAGTCTTGATGAATGTTCAACAATGAATGTTTTAATATCAGTATGTCGTGATTTAGTAACACATTTTAAAAGATGTGAACTTCAACAGAAATTATCATCAACATTAAAACAAGATATTTGCACGCGGTGGAATTCCACATATGATACTTTATGGTCCATATGGTTAAATTTTGATGATATTGAACAAGTATTGGATAATCGAAATGAATCAACTTATCTTGGAAAAATTAACCGATTGATGGTAAAAGACGTTACAGATTTACTTGCAATTTTTAAAATCGGTAGTGAGAAACTATCCGCTGATGATGTCCCGACATTACACTCAGTGTTGCCGTGGTTTTACAAATTTAAAAAATCATGTGAATCCCGTGACACTGATCCATTATACATTCGTGAATTAAAACAAAAAATATTAGATAAACTTGATGATAAAATATGGCTGACAGATATTCACTATATCGCAACTTTTCTCCATCCAGAAACAAAATCTCTTTCGGTAACAATGATAAATTGAAAAGAATCTTGCTTTATTTGATTTTTTTCAGACATTATCACAAAAAGAACGAAATGCTGTTGTACAATCAGTTAAAAAAATGATGAAAACAATAGGAATTGTTGAAGAATCACCTGATTTAACAATAACTATTGATAATGATAGAAGAAAAAATAAACGAAATAAACGTGCTAAACGTGATGATATATCAGTTGATGATATTTTAAAAGAATTTGTAGCAAATGATACAGATGACGATGATGATGAAGTCTATGATGAAGTTTTAGAATATATGAAAATGAAAGTCAATTATCAAACAGGTGAAAATATATTGTTATGGTGGACGAAGCATACATCTATTTTTCCACAATTATCACGTTTGGCACTACCACTTCTTTCAATTCCAGCATCATCAACTACGAGCGAACGTGTATTTAGTGAAACTGGTCGTATTCTAGAAGCACGACGTCAACAACTAACTCCAGATTCACTTGATTCACTTGTTTTTTTACGTAATTTTAGATAATTTATTCTTTTTTTGTTATTTATGAACGAAACTAAATGTAATATATTTATTGAATGAAATAAAGGTTTAGAAATTTGATCATATTTTGAAAAATAACTGAGTAGGCCGGTTCGGGTCGGTTCGGGTCCGGTCTAGCTCATTCGGTCCGGTTCGGTTCCGGGTGGTTAACTAGCCGGGTCGGTTCGGGCCCGGGCATAAAAAAAAATGCCGGTTCGGTTTCGGGTACTAAAAAGTGCACCCGTGCAGGACTCTACGATACAGAAAAAAACAGTGAAAGACTTGCAATTCTTTATTATTTACACAATAGTTGTTGTAATCTTCATTAATAAAAGATCTTAAGAGTTAACTACTAACTCCAGAACCTAAAGCGAGACAAGATCTGATAGCCTCGCCTTGCTTTCAAAATAGTGTAAATACTACGAACATATGCTACCTATCTGATATTGACAACTGACAATAAACGAGAATTTGACTAGTTTGAGAGTGCGGGTGTGAGTTACACATAATACGCCTACTCTTCCCCATATTCATACCGTCATCCTATTTTGTTTATTGCAAAAGGTCAACATTTATAGCAGAGAAGGAGAAATACCATATGACATTACGAAACAATGAAAATCACAATATAGAATAAAACGCGGAAAAATAAAATTGACAACAATTGATCACAACACTTTCTAAAACACTTCCATCTACACAATCTACAAGTATTAGAGAACAATGTCATTTCACACAATCATTACCAGTAACTATTTGTTTCAAAAACTCTTAATCTTTAGTATGGGTGATTCCAGTGAGTTAGAAAGTGGTGTCTCTTCCTCACAGTGGTTGAATTCTATTGTTTTGTAGTCCAAAATTTGTTATCTGTTCTTCTCTTCTCGTTTGCTGTTGAGTAATCGTGTTTATATTGTGTGCCATGGTATTCAGACGCTCATTATTTCTCTGTATTTGTCTTTTGAAATATGGAAGTAGCTCCAATGCAGCTTTTCTTAGTGATGGTGTTTGTAAAATTGTTATGATATGAATAAAACTCATTCCAATAGCAATAAAGAGATAACTGAGACGATAGGTTAGAAAGTGTGTTTGATATTGATTTGCTATTGCTTGAAAGAAAAGTACTATATATACAATACCGAGAAATATAAGTGAACATGTTGGTAGTATAATACGTTTGAGCATTATAAATTGACGATCAATTGTTTGTCGACGTTGAATAGTAATCGTTGTTGTTCGAGTAGCATAGATATATATCCAGAGATAGATTATAGCAAAAATTGTTAGAAAAACTCCGTAGACTGAAACTGCAATGTATGCTACTGATAGGGGTTTGGTAAATGGAATTGGACAGAAGAATTCTGTTGGTAGATAGACGAATGAATGTGTCAACAGCATTGGTAAAATGAGAAGAAATGAAAAAATCCATTGTATGAGACACAAAAATACAAATACTTTGTAGCTATAGCGTTTCTTATAGAAAACCACCTGTCGGAGACGATAATACGCTTGAAGACAGTAACTAGTGTAGAGTAGAGAGAAGCCAGTAAAGAGAAAGTAAGAACGAATTGGACAAAGATTTTCTTTATCGTAAGAACTTGTAAGAGAAGTAGTTGATTTCATATCACTTGTAATAATGAATACATAGATAATAATGTTACTGAGACAAAGCTCAAGTGTGCAGATGCATGTATTTGAAAGTAAAAGATTGGTAACTCTATCGCGGCGATTGATCGTGAGTTTACGAGCGATAATGAATAGAATGAGAGATGAGATGAGGATTCCAATTAGTAGAGAGATGATCGCAATGATATCGAGAAGAACGAAGAGTACAGTAAATTGAGACATAACTCTAGAAATAAATATGAAACGGTCTAAATACATGCAAGACAAAGTTTGTAAACTGTATTAAAAATTATATCAAACCGATAGACTCTAAGTTTTATATTTTTAGTATGAATAGATACAAAGTACTACGCACGAGCTTAGAAATATTTTGTGCACTTTCAGAGAGTATACATAGAAAAAGAGACTCATTCAATGACGTTATTCATTCGAAATAAAAAGAAACTCTTCAACCCTTTCTGTTCATGTCAAATATCTTAATCTTGTTTGTAATTAAATAAAAAGGAATAACGAGTCGCTTTTTCTAATATTGTTTTGAACACAATTGATAAACTGTTGTTTTTCCTATCTGTAGTTGATGATAAACAGAGATATTCAGTAGCTTATCACTTGTGGATATTTCAATCATATAAAAAAAGAACAAGAGACGTATCTTATTAGAATAACAGCAGTGAGAACAACATAATGAAGTTATATCTGTTCATTATCTCTCGCGTGTCAACAACAGAAAGAGAAAGTAAACTGTCAGATCAATATTGTTGTGAGTATATACATCTTTGATTGTAGCATTACGATTGACTGAAAGAATCTTTAAAATTTTGAAAAAAAAAAACGAAGTCGATGTGGTCAGAAGATTTTTATATGGAATAGGTTCTTTGCTTATGAATGAATTTTTAGCATCAAGATTCATAACGAAAATTTGAGAGAAATAATACCACAGTGTCATGCAGGAGTTTGTTTAGAGAAAAACTAACTTTGGTTTAATACTCAACCTAAGCGAAAAATTTGTCATTAATTTGAGCATGGTATGTATGATTCAAGTTACAATATGACTACATTTTCAGAAATTTCTTATTACCTCAAAAAGAAAAAAGAAAAAAAAACAACACATCAGTTTATATAATTCATATAAAAGTAATAAAGTGAGTTAAGCTGAATTTACTGTCAGCTTATATAAAGAAAAGTTTTTTTCTTTTCAGTATTACTAACAAATTTTATAAAAGAAAGAGACCAGTGTGATGCTTAACTAAATACGTTACATCTTGAAGATGATTTTTGATTCACTCTGAAAATTAAAAAAAATAATTGATTCTATTCTATTCTATTCTATTTCTATGATGTATCTTAAGACTTTCCAGAACATAATAAAAAAATTGGGGATGTGAAGTATGAGTGAATATGTAGTGAAGGCACATCCACATCCTCAAGAATCCACTAAAACATTGACTAATTTTTTTCTAAAAATGATGGCGATGAACTCTTTTTACAGTTTTCAACAATGATGAATAATAATATGATTTATACTCAGGATGTCTATCCGAACGGTAAGAGTATGGCACTCAACAAATGAAGAATATAGATTTTTTCTACATAAAACTGTCTACAGATAGAATATGTTACGCTAGATCGACGAAATATAAGACAAAACTAACTTCGTTAATTTTTGTTTGTATAATGAAGTTTGTTGTATAGAAAATGTATAGGTCATATGAGAAAATGCTTTATCCGATGGTATTTACCATGAGAAATATATTTTGGGAATTTATTTGTTTTACTGTAGGCGTTGGTTTTAAAGCTTTTGTAGAGTTTTCGATGGAGTATCTTCTGGCAAAAATAACTACGCTGCTGTCACTCTCTCAACTCGAGATATTTCCAAAATAAAAAAACTCATCGAAATATATCTCTTGTGTTACATACCACGGAATAAAATGCTCTTATGTTATCAGAACAAATCAAGAGAGATTTCATCTTACAGCTTTTGTAGCGAATGTTACAGCGTATCTTTTGGTACAAAAATAAAGACCAGAGGAATTTTTTTATAGATGAGATATTTGAAAAATATTATGTGCTTCTATTGTTACATCATATTCGATATCATATTTATCAAAGATGAGTTATTGTCATACATCATTGACGAAACAGAAAATATATTGTGATTTTTTTTTTGAAAATGGGATTCGCTCCTTGATTTATCTATAAAGGCTATTCTCAGTTTGAATATTAAACTAATAAATAAGTAATATTATTGAAAAGTTTGACACGGATGTCATTATATAGTTTCTAGCAGTAATTAGAAGCTAAAAATATATACTTCAATACTTGTTTTTTTTTTCAATACTGAAAATAGAGAAATGAGATGACCTCTTTTGAAGCAAAGAATTTCAATATATGACATGCACGCAATTAGAAAAACAACGCACAAAAGTGCGTTCAGAATACCTTGAAGCTTTCGAACAAAAGTATATTTGTTCAATATGGGCTTGAGTATTTTATTTCATCTACACCCACACCAATCCCGCGAAAAATCAAGTGATTTTTTCATGTTTATATATGTATGAAAACTATTAGTTAATTAAAAACTTCAGTTCAGTCAGTTTGCTTCAGTAATTTTCGTTCGACGATGACTTTGTTCATGTAAACCAATAAATTCACATTTTTCACATAAATTGATTCCACAAGAACATCTGTAACGAATACCAACAATTGGATTCATAAAACATGACTTACATAAAATGTTGCTATGACGAATTTTACTTCGATTTTGTAAGTAAATTGTATTCGGATATGCATTTGAATCTTTAATACATAATAATGGATGATTGTATGAATGATTGAGTTCATTTCTTGTTCTACTAGTTGATTTACATGATTCACAAAAATCAACATCGAAACAAAATAAACATTTATAACGATCACCTTTGATTGGTGACATATCACATCCATCACAAGTCACTTTTGAATGAATATTATTATTCAAACTTTGTTGTTTCATCTTATCATCATCATCATTAAATTCAATTTTATAAATATCGATCATCTCTTTATTACTACTTAATCTTAATGTAACTATTTCTTTTTCTTGATT